CTGTTGGGCTCGTTGAAAAGGCCATGTCCATCTAAACAGCCTGGTCTGCAAGCCCGGTCTGTCCTCCGTCATCAAGGTGATGAAGATAGGCTTGCAACCCGACCGGGGCACCAGAGCCCGGACGTCTTTGGGGATAGCAAATTACTATGCTGTACAGTTCGGGTCCAGGCTCGGAGGTGAAACCTATCGACAAGCTTGTCGACGGCGAAGTCCCACTTGATTCGGCCTGAGGGTCTTTCCGGGGGTTTCGAGCCCGAAAGTTGTTGGGCGAGGTACCCACTCAAAAAGTCTCGAAGCTACCTCCAATCATCGGGATGTCGTCCGGCAGCTGCCCCCAAGTCGAGAGACGGGGGGACGTAACCGGGTGATCGGTACCCGGGGACGCCCGCGCAGGGGCCGAGGGTTCACTAGCATCTCAACCTCACGTCCTCGGGAGGAGCCTCACCTGGCGATCGACCACGCTCGGGGTCCGTCGAATGGATCGATGGCGGACGAGCTCCGGCTGCTCCTCATCTCATCCCTTGTCGTCCTCCTCCTCGGAGGACAAGACGATTTGGCTTTTTTAGTTTGCGGCGGCCCTTTTTGTCCGCTTTAATCTCCTTTGGGGTCGTCCGTACCGGACTCCCCGGGCCTTTTTATTTTCTCCCGGAACGGAAGGGGCATAGTATTGAAGACCTCATCTCCCGGTCCTTGGCCAGCCTGCAAAACACAGAGTTATGATGATTCCCGTATTACAAGAAAAAAATGCGTTAACTTGGTGCGCTACCGGTCCAAAAGAAGGCTTACCATGGTTTTCGCCTCCCACGACCTTTGGAGATTTCCTTCCAGTTTCGCTCCGAATATGGCCGCTGGGCACTATCTTGTTTCACCAGCCGGCCAAGATCCTTGATGGAGCTGGGAGTTGGGTCCACCGCTGCACAAGAAAAGGGAGAAGTTGAGGAAAACACACTCTAAAAGATGAACAGTGAGAAATACTACGTTTGAGGTCCACCTCTCCGAATGGCATGCAATCAGCCGGAATCAGGTCGGACGTCCTGATCCGGACAAACCTGCTCATCCAGCCTCGATCTTTGTCTTCATCGATGCTGGAGAATGGGGTTTGCTAGCCCGGGGGCCAGTTTTTTAATCCCCCTCGAAATCATTCGGGGGCTGTATAATGAAGAAAGATGGTCGAGGGTAAAGGAAAATCGCCTCGACTCTTCTCGACAAAAAACCGAAAAGAGATATACGATCCGCCACATCGAGGGTGGACCTGACTAAGGTCACCTCGTACCGCGGCAGAACTCCACTATAATGGTTCTAAGGGGCCTAAGCGTGAAAGGGATATGTATATACACTGAGATACCCTTCAACGTGAGTCATAATCGACTCGTCACGGAAGGGGCGACCAGGTCTTCCTTCCACTAACATTCACCCTTCACCCGGTTAGGCAACCGGGATGATTAGGCTGATATACTCCGATGCCGGTTCGCCGCGGCCCGGGACCGATGATGGGTTCTCAACCTGGAAGTCGGCAGATACCAAGCAACCAGTCGGTGTAAAAGCTTTCAATGGGGGTTCTTGGCGCAGGTTCATCAGATCTAGCGGGCTCGCAGACGAGCTTGGTCTAGAAGGAACACTTTGTGAAGTTTTCGCCATTCTTTGAAGCTTTACGAAGAGATGAAAAGAAAAATACAACCAACGCAAAATTTGAGAAGATAAGAAATGTTGAACCTGGAAGGGTCGTTTATACTTTCCCATGAGGCGCGGCACGAATCGCGAAGTTACAGACACGAAGCGACAATAATTAAGAAAGCATTTAAATGCCTGCAGCAGACGTGGTCAGAGCACTCGATGGCTTTTTCAGCTGGCGTATGGCCATACGTCACGGGCATCACGTCACCGATCATATCGTTTATTATCATTACTCTCTAATAAACGAGGGGACTATCTGTATTGGGTGATACCCTTTTTGCTTGAGCCCGACCGGGTTGGGTCCGGTCCGGGGCAAGTCGGGGCCATCGAACCCGACCTGGATGCAAGGTAGAACGACGGCCACGTCAACAACCGAGGTCGAGTCATTTCGAGACCGTTGCAGAGCTCGATATGAGTCACCACCGGATGGAGAAACACACAAGGTCGGAAGCCGGACTCGTAACGGATAACCAAGCGTCGCCGGATATCTCGCCCAAACGTGATTTTCTCAACCACTTCAGGCCATTAAGGCGTAATTACAGGGATCCACGATGTAATTAATTTACCTACCTTATTTTTACCCTTAATCAGAATGTATAAAAGGGGAGAAGACCCCATAAAGAGGGGATCGGAAACCATTACACTACGGTACCATCTCTCTCAATTCTTGTACGCTATCAAGCACAATTGTTCTAAGCAATATTATATTCTGCGATTATTTACTTTAGCAGCAATTGTTGAGTCTTTATCTTTTATTTTTCTCAATCCAAACCTTTTGTATCTTTTAGTTCACGGATCCTTAAAACCCCATATAAATTCAATTGTTATCCGGATTCCAGGGTAAACAGTATTCAAATGACAAAACAAAGAAAAGAAAAAGAGATAGAGGTTTCATGTTCCAAATTACAAATTAATACATACTGGTTTATAAAGCAAACCTTTAAATCTGGTATCGTATTGAAGTTTCTACATCATTATTACAGGGAAAAACCTATCTATGCTGCTACAGATATAGTCAAAAAATTGCGTGAGGTAGTATCTACTCATAAGCCTAAATACTTAGATAGTAGAGATCAAGGTAAACTAAAATAGTGGTAACTTATTTTTTGGATATAAATTTATGAGATATACGAGCAATACATGTATGATTTTTAATGGTATTACGTCTAGATAAATTGCAAGGCCGATATAATTGAAATATTCAAAGATCAAAAGTTCCTTTATGTAATAAAAAGACATAACAGGAAGCAAGTTCTTATGATTCTACCTGTCAAATCTTTTCATATGCACGTAAGTCTTTCTTGTCAATTTTTGTATACAAGNAAGTGCATTTTAAGCTGGATAAAATTGGGGAAGAAAAAATAAATTACCGTATGACCCAAAAAAGGAGAAAGAAGAAGTGAATAAGTGAAAAACAACTTCTTCAATTAATATCCATCACAAAATGTGATTTTCTTAGGTTAAAAAAGGAAAATAGAACTTAAAGAAGAATAAGTAGGAAACATTTAATATCCTTATTAAAAGAAAAGTCAAATTTTCGGTGGGTTCAAAAAAGAAAACTCTCAAGTGCATAAGTAGAAAACTTATTATTAATGATATCCCTATTAAAGGGCATTAGAAACGTGTACCAATTTTCATGACATTAGGGTTTAGTTTTTGCGTTGTTTAAAATTTTTAGTTATTGCTTTAATAGTCAATCTTGTTGTCTTTTACCTTGTTGTCTTTTATTATTGGCTGTTGCTTTAACTTGTAAAGACTCTTGCTTTGAATTCTCTTTTATATTCTTTTTAGTTTGCCATATGAGAAGCTTGATATTTTCATTAGAGTTGTTGAAGTCTTAATCGTTGATTGTGATTTAAACTCCTTTATTGCTTATTAATGCTTTTGCTACTATGTATCATCTCTTTTTATGTTCTTAACTTGGTGTTGTCTAACTTTTGTGCTTTCTTTCTTCCAATTTAGGCTGTCGAATCTAGATCGTAGAAGCTTTTGGGTCCTTTGAAACTAACACAACAAGTATATCGAGGTAAATTATTATTTAGTTTGTTCCTCATCGAATGAGATATGAATTACACCTTAACATGAGAGTCCCTTAATCTTTTTTATTTTCAGTTTTATAAAATATTATTGTAACCTCTAGCAATTTTTCTTAGTTTAGTTTGTTGTTACTTTTGTTTTTAATCTTTTATAGGATTTTGGAAGAGTTATTTTCAGTTTAAGTCTTTTTCTTTTCACCATCCAGTTTAATTTTTTAGGATAAAAGATTATGTTGGTTAATACTTTGGGTTAAAAAGGGATTTATGTTTAAAAAAAATTCTAAATACTAACGTCTCATCAATATGAAATTTTGCTACTAATATTCAAGTTTTCTTTCTTAGCAATAACTCCTTTCAAAATCTTTAAGGCTAACGTTTTTTTCTTTTTATTCCCGATCCAATTCAATTATCTTTTATGAATCACACCTAATTTTTTCACAAAAATAATAAATTTTTATTACTTATAGTTTATTACGATGTCTTTTATATGAAACAAAAAATACATCATAAAGAAATATTTTTAGAATAATGAAGGTTACAAACATCTTTTAGACTAAAATTGTGGTTGATTGTTCTACAAATAAAGTCAATCTGATTATAAAAACGATTACTAACTTTTACTTACATCTAAAGTAATTATAGTATTCTTTCTTTCTTTCTTTAATTTTTATTTTAAAACTCAAATATATTATTTAATATTATAATTGAATAATTTTAATAATTATATATTCATTAAACTAGGGTTCATGCGCAAAGCGCGTACCCACACACATATATATATATATATATATATATATATATATATATATATATATATATATATATATATATATATATATTCCCTCTGGTCCATTTTAATAGATTTTTTATTGCTTTTACACATATTAAGGAATCCACCTTTTAACATTAATTAACAGTAAAATTGACCATATTAATCTTTACTATACCTCTTTAATTTGTTCATTAGAGATATAATAGATACTCCGAGAGTCTTTACTTCAAGAGCAACTTTGAAAAAAATAAATTAATTCTTTCATGTGGACCACAAAAAGAAAGGCCAAAAATCAATTAAAGTGGACCGGAGGTAGTATTAAAGAACTTTCGAAATCCAAATGCAAATTTTTTGAGAGAGAAGTCTTGCAAGATGACCTAATTAAACACTGCATCATTTGAAGTAATTAGTTAAGGTAGTTGAGCTCCAAAACTACCACTTTGAACCTCCATATTTCTTGTTTTGATGTTATAGGCATCTATAAATCACTAAACATCAATATCTTCCCTTCTATAGAATCATCTTTCCTCCTTGCACGTAACTTCTCAAAGTCTTTTAAATTCAAACAAAAATGTTAGTGTTAAAATTCTTAAAGAAGTTTCAACTATTGGTATCAATTTTGGGTATTGTTTTAAGCAGTCAATTAGTTTCGGGGCAGATTAGTAGAGCATGTAGCGGTGCAATGTTACGTAGCTTTAGCCCTTGCATAAACTTCATTACTAATGGTGGGAGCAATTCTTCACCAACTTCAGATTGTTGCCCATCTCTTAAGTATGTCATGAGTAATGGCACAGATTGCATCTGCCTTATTGTTACTGGAAATGTTCCTTTTCGCGTACCCATTAACAGGACATTAGCACTTTCCCTACCCAAAGCCTGCAACATGGCTGGTGTCCCCCTCCAGTGCAAAGGTAATCAACTGTTTTCTTCTTCGTTTTATCGACCAAATTCTTATTGCTGACTTTTCTTGAGCATTTTTGTGAGTACGTACGTACTTCTTTTTTTCTTTTTTTTTGAACACTTTCATGGCTAGTCTTTCTTGGCGACTATTTTTATTTGTAGTGACTAAAGTTGCCCAAAAAGCAACTTGACAACCTCTAGGAGTCACCACGGATAAGTCTATTCTTGGCGATCTTATAGTCGCCCTACGAAAAGTCTTTTGTGACGACTTTTCCACTTCATGTGGAGTCTTTAGTCCTACGAAAGTCTGATTATATTGGCCTCAAATTGATTAGGGCACTAACTCTGAATTGTATTACTAACATTGCAGCATCTGCTTCCCCTATTCCAGCTCCAGGTACCAAAAGTAACTCTGGTTCTTTAATTTCGCACTAGCATTTCCAGATTTTAGTTATAAAAGAAAGAAAAAGACGATTAAATCCTCAATTGCCAAACTATATATTGGGAGTAATGAAAACTTCTGGCTGACAGGTCCAGCTGCCTTAGCACCAACAAAATCTCCTAGATCATCTCAAAGGCCTAAGCCACCTCCATCTCCTAGTCCTGAAGGTAATTAAAACTCTGATATTTCTGGTGAATTGAACTGAACTTGCTGAATTTTGATGTCTAATATGGCTTATGGATGCTATTGTTTCTTGCATATGGTAGCTGCCAATGTTCCTCAGCCATTCACACCTTCTTTTGGACCAGTGGCTGATACAACACCAGGTAATCCTAATACAGGTTTAACACCACCTTCCCCAACAGACAGCTTTGGAAACCCTGATGATAATTCAGGATTCAAGCCTGATTTGACACCATCAACGGCCCCATCTTCTGATAGATTTTCAACATTTGTTCTTCTAGCAGCCTGTGGAACAATGGCTTTGAAGTTCTACTAAATTGGCAACCCAATTTATCTTTTTTTCCCCCTTTTTTTTAAAAAAAAAAAAGAAAAGAAAAGAATTAGAGAGCTTGCTTGTAGTTTATAATCATTCTTTGGAGATGTGTATACATGAGTTTTGCACTGTTTTGATAATGTCCATTGTGGTCAAGTTTCATAGAATATTAATGAATATGAGGTTTCAAGATGTCAGTCTTGACGTTGACGTATATGTGGAGCTTGAATTTTTCACCTTACCACTTTATGTAAATTTGACAAGGCATTTTGGAGCTTGAATTTTTCGAAGTGCAAAAACTGCATGTCCTAGTACAGAATCTGAGTGAAATCTATTTGTTAGTACAACCTCCAAAAGTTTTCAGCCTCTTAGCTATTACTGCAGTTATTTCCAGCCATCAGACCATTCAGCTTCATCCATAACAGGGTCTGGGATGTATTCTGACTGGTGAGCTATATCACATTGAACCTCAGGAGATGGCTGAAGATTCTGTTTCTCTACATTTTCGCAGGAGCCTCCGTCGTTCCAATTCTTGGCTTGGTCATAATCCCAATTGTTAGCTTGAGCCCCTTCATAGTCCCAATCGTTAGCTTGTGCCCCTTCGCAATCCCAACTTTTAGCTTGTGCTCCTTCCCAATTGTTAGCTTGTGCCCCTTCGCAGTTCCAACTTTTAGCTTGTGCTCCTTCGCAGTCCCAACTTTTTGCTTGTGCTCCTTCACAGTCCCAGTTATTTTCTTGAGCCCCGTCATCACACCAATTATTTGCTTGTCCAGAATCCTCTTCAAGGATCTCCAGTCTTTCAGGTAAGAAGCAGCCCTTATACGAGCCATTATCTGCACAATACCATAAAAGCTTGTTCCAGTAGGGGTCCTGTCATATCGTACACGTCAGTAAATATTTGCATTTCTCACTCATAAATAGCAATTTCAGCAAAATTAGCCTCATGAGTCATAAGTTTAAGCTCCACATATGCCCGCAACAATTCAACTTTTATGAATGACAGTAACATTTAGCTCCCTGAGAATATTCAACTCCTCAGTTGCCAACAATAGATATTACCAGGATCAGGAAAATAAACAAAAAGGATAGACAGAAACTTCAGCTTTACTGTGGCATATCAAATCTAGATTGATACTACAAGTTGCAATAGCAGAAATTAATACAGAATTACCTTGCAGATGATATGTGGATTCCCAATAACTACAAGCAACGATCTGGCTCTTGTAGCAGCAACATTAAACCTTCTCGGATTGCTTAAAAATCCTAAATAGTGGATTCTATCAAAATCATTGTGTGTTACAGTTGATCGGACGGTCGAGATAATAATAACTTCTCTCTCCTGACCTTGGAATTGCTCAACACTACCGACCTTTACATTAGCCCAATCGAAACTCTCAAGGGCTTTTCGTATTTTCAGTACTTGTTGTCTGTAAGGTGTTATCACCCCAATATCTTCCTCTTTCAGACCTTTGTTCTCTATCAGATCCCTTATGATCTCTACTACCTTGCTTGCCTCAATCCTATTGAACCATGATGGGTTGTTTCCTTCCCTTTCATCACAACCTTGGATACCGATGAAAAGCAACGGAAATTCCTTGTTTGGAAGCAGGTCCACCCAAGTCTGAGCAGAAGCTTTATCATCTTCTTTACATGCGATCAACTCTCCTCCATAAAACATTTCTGAGGGAAGCTGCAGAATTGCTGGATGACACCGATAGTTTCTTACTAGTCTGGTAGCATAATTTTCGTTGAGATCACCATATAACTGGCATTCAAATAACCTTTCCATATATGACGTCCCCAACCCATAATTTTCAGCATCTTTTGAAAAAACTATGGGACCAAGTTGCAGTGGATCACCAGCAAGTACAACTACTGTCTCGTTCCTTAAAAGATGCGACAGAGGAACCATGGTTTCAGGCTCCGATGCCTGTCCTGCCTCATCCAAGAAAATGTGAGAGAAATGTCCCCGTTTAATACCTTCAGCATAAAGAAGAGATGCACTAGCATATGTAGATATAATAATCCTATATCTTCTAAGGTCCCTGAGAAGAGGACACTTGAAGGCATCAACTTCAACATTGCAAAAGCGAATGTGACTAGGATTCACGTCGTCTAGAGGACGTGTGAGTGCATTCAACCTAAGAATCTCATGGTCCTTCACTTCAACATTCTGCTGACTGACAAGTTTCTCAAGTATATGGTCTGCGGCACTATTCGAAGGTGCGCAGACGAGAACTCGAGCATTTTTCCTCGTAATGTGTAGCTGGAGAATAGCTTCTATAAGAGTCCTTGTTTTGCCTGTACCAGGAGGCCCATGGATAACGTATGGAGCTCCGCCTTTGCACCCAAGGATCTTTTCAACTGCCGTCGTCTGCTCCTTGTTAAGCATACATGAAATAGGTGCCAGTCTGGCAGCTTGTATATGTCTCGCTCTGGATATGCCTGATGGAAAGAGAATTTCTCCATTTAAGCTTTCTGTAGCTTCAATGACTTGGTGTAACCTCCGCACACTTGTACGATTGAATGCAAACTGTACATTATAAAGATTTCCAGCAACATGGTTGATGTGGAATTCTTTATCAAACTTCAAATACACTTCTTCCGCCTCAACTCGGTGGATATAACCCTGTGCAAGAACCACCAAAAATCACCAAGTTCATGTAAATAAATTACTACTTCTCTTGATCTCTCAAGTTCAAGTATAAAATCTCACAGATATATGATTATTTCTCTTTTATCTGTTCTTAAACCTCTTCTTATGCATATCTTAGACAAAGAGTGGAACTTTTAACATGTATCTGAGAAAGTTGCAATGCATGTGTCATTGGACAAGGTAGGTGTGCTTTCCAGTAAAATGAAAATGAAACCTAAAAAAAAGGGCAGCCCAGTGCACAAATCATCCCGCGTTCACGCAGGATCCGGAGAAGGGCCACAGCTCAAGGGGGGTGTACTGCAGGCAGCCTACCCTGACGCAAGTATCAGCGGTTGATTGCATAACTCGAACTCGTGACCTACAGATCAGACAGAGACAATTTTACCGTTTCTCCCAGGGCCAAGTCTCCCCTTCATGAAAAAATGAAATTAAAAACAGAAACAAAACAAGGAAAGACTCAAGGAAGATAATCAATAGCAAAAATGCTGAAGCTCTACCACAAAATCCGTAGCCGTAATGGCCAACATTCTTTCAACTTGGAAAAGCTACAGGTACCATGGATTTATAATTATTTTCACCAAATTATGCAGTAAAGAGAGCTTAAAATTATTAAGTAGCAAGTTATGATATAAACCAAAGCAAATATATGAAAGCACCTGATAAGGGGTGGTCTCACTTGCATCTGCAGTAGCTAGCCTTGCAAAGATATAATCCCCATAAACAAGTGACGGCCTCCTCTCAGCTAGCCCTGGGACATCAAGGGACAAAAATTGAGGTCCCCTTCGCTTCATGGTGGCGGACTCCATATCATAGTCCCTCATGTCTTCCTGATGCAAAAAAAAAAAAAAAAAAAAAAAAAAAAAAAAAAAAACTATAAGATTTTTGTACTACCCAAAATGAGGTAGTATTTCAGTACTTCAAATCAAAATTTGAAAACAAACCTCCATCTTGATTTCTTCAATATTTAGTAAAATTCTAAAATAAACAATGTAATTATCTCTTCTTAGACCTTCCCCAATAACATCAGGAAACTGTTCCTTCTCTATCATTTCCCTTATATCCCCAGGAATGGGATATGAAGGAAGTCTGTATCTGAATCCTTGATTTCGAGCCCTTGTAGGACGAGAACCCACAACGAATGCATTAGGAGCAAAAACATCTACTGCTGGTGCTTTCTTCTTTCTGTCTCTGTAGTATGGCCTGCTCGAAGCCAGTGACTGCGAGACCTTATCCTCAGCCAGGACAAAAACCAATCTTTCTATGGTCTCATCGCCAACATTGATATGCACAGCTGATGTGTGCAACCCAATTTCTTTCGGTTTACAAGACAACCACACTGTTAGTGTCTGACCTGGTCGTAGCATTCTATCCTCTAAGCTAAAGGACTCCATGAATTCTTGAACATATTGCATGTCGGAACATGGAGTTGGTGGTTTCATCAGAGATAGAGTGAACGAATCCTCAGGTTTCGAGTCATAAATCTTAATTGACCAGAGTTCCAGCGAATCATTAGTGGTATTCTCTATTGTGATTGAATCGACAATAGTTTCACCAACAATTCCTGATTTAGGTTTTCCCCCGATCAGTGGAAATGGAACAGATATAACAACTATCTCGCTCTCTCCATTTGGATTGTAGCTACAAGCTGATTTATATCTGTCAAAGTCAACAAATCCGATGTCTCCTTTATCAGTAATTATTGAATATTCATCATCCGACTTATCAGCAACTGAGCCCATGAGTACTTGAGAGAATTTCAAGAAGAACCTGCAGCTTTCAACCAAAGTAACATGACTTACTGCAACAAAGTAACCCTTCCATAACACTTAAACCAAATTGCTTTTAAACAAATAATCTGATGTTTCAAATAAATCTAAGGAAAATCCAGGACTCTCAGTCCAAAATCTTTTATGAAAGAGAACGTTAATATGAATGTAGTTTTCCTTTGAAAATGCTAATGCACTGTAGAGGACATACCTATTGATACACAGGCTGTTATTTCTTCCATCTTTTACACATTATTCAGGTTAATAAGTCGTAGATGCAGATAATTTTTTCCAAAGAAAGTAATCATAAATTCAGCATACCAATGTTATATTCATGGATTATTCTTATGTATTTAACATTGTTATGAAAGCACATGGTTGTTCATTGTAACTTCTCCTTTTTGATACTTTAGGTGGTTTAACTGTTAAATATGCATTCAGTTTTTTAGATACCCTGAAAGTATATATAAGCCTAATCAACTTTTTTAATCACCCAGCCTAAGGTTCCAAAGTAAGTCAACCTCAAAAATAAACAGGTGATGGTAACACAACGACTAATGGACTTCACAATTTGTTTTTCCTTCATTTATTTATCTACAAAAACTTCAGATGATTCATATAGAAACAGAATTACAAAAAACAAGTAGTAAAAACCAAATGATGTTAGCCCCCAGGGCTTAGTTCAAGAGGCAAAGGTTGAGGGACTTGGTCATAGGTTCGAGCCTTTAAGTGGAGAAGGATAGAGGGGTGGGCTATGGCCTAGTTTCAAAGGCTGCAGTTGGTCCTAAGGGTCGGCCACAGATGGATTTCTCAGTCACCAAAAAAAGGAGAAAATGATGTTACCTCTGGTGAGGTTAATTCTGAAGATTATCAGAATGTGAACAACATCTTGAAACATTATTAGTGACTTGTTCGAGCTTACATTGTTCACTCAGTATAAAACATGCTAACACCGAGATCTTCTCAGAAAATCACGGTAAAACATTGAAAATCAACAAAATAGACAAATAAAACCATGTTTTAACAGGGTGACAAACTGAGACAACATGAGCGCTGCGTGAAAAGTGAAAACCCACAATCACAAAGGAGCTAATAATGCAGAAAAGTGAAAATGCAGATCAAATAAAACAGAAAATGAAGGAAAGCCCACCTCAATTTTGGTCTCTAGAAAGGGAGAATACACAAGGGTTTTAAACTTGAGATGAGAAATTGTGAAATGTCTCTTACCAAATTCTGAAAGTTAAGAGACGACGATATATTTTCCAAGTAAAATTTTCACTCTTTCAGATAAATTACAGTTTGCGAGTAATTCAGAGCTCAGAATTTGATAAGCCATACACTGATGAAAGAAGTTAGTACTAGTAGAGTGAAGTGCGTGACGAGGAGAGAGGTCTTAAACAAAATAAAAAAGATGCGAATGTTAGAGTACCCCTCTTAGTAATCTATTATCTATTACTATATAAAAAAGCATGAACCCCTTAATAAAAAGTCAAATTACATCAATACCCTTCCTATTTATTTAAAATATTTTGTGATTAAAAAAAGTAATTTGGTGCCTAAGAGAAGCCAACGCTTCAGCCTTCATACATCACTTTCTAACGTTGCCATCGTTTAGTTGAATCGAGCAATGTCTTTTATAAAGCACTGGTCAATAAAAACTCTAATGTGGTGACAAGCATTGAGCCCAAATATTATGGACGAATCCAAGGGAATTATCACAGGCATACACTACAAAGCAATTCTCTTTTATGAGGGTACACTTCTTTAGAGAAAGTGTGTCTCATTGGAAAGAATAACAAGCCACAGATCGATCAATTGCAGGGGAGAATTCAGGTTGTCAAAAAGTTGCTTGTCCCTAAAATACATTCGGAATCCAAAGTGAAAAAAAAGGGATGCACAACAATGCAAAGGAATTGACACTGGATAGCAGATATGTGGTGCCCTATTCCAATGTATTTGTCCACAATTTTACGGACTAAAATGGTAAAAGTTAGAGGCAAGTAGCACTAGAAGATTTGTATGGGACTAATCACAAAAAGTAAAATTGATTAAGGAGCAAGTGGCAATAAAATCGGGTTCTACCTTCTTAACTTTATTTATTAATGAATTTTTACCCTTTGTGATTTTTGTAAAACTTATTTTCATTATTAATGCAAGCGTCTGTGACAAAATTAGGAATTTTATTAAAGGATATTAGACTATAGAAAAGTAAACACACAAATAAATAAAGAAAATTTAACATATAGTATATATATAGATAAAATTAAAAAATTTACCTCACTACGGTGTAATTTTTAGAGAAATAATTGCCGATTGACAAGGTGGCTCTGCAATGATTAGGGTAGATCTCTTATGTGATGAGTTTCTACACATAAGAAAGGAGTTTTTAGAAAAAATCAATTGCACGGAGTTTAGTTTTGTGGACTTAAAAAGAGAAGAAATACATATAAAAGCGGAAAAATGTGGACTGCAATTATTGTAAAGGGAGGAATTATAGTTAGATATATGATTAAAAAATTTTTAATTAATCTCTTTCATTCTCCGAAAGAAGTTAGTACAAGGTTGTTAAAGTAAACTTTTGGATTTCCTTTTGGTGTTTTAACATTTCTCCATTGGGGTACTTACTACGACTTCGCCATTTACGAAATATATATCTCATTGAGTTGAAAATTCAAAAAAAAAAAAAACAAATAATTAGGGTGGTTCAATTCGATAGAGGTAAGAGTAGTTGTTGCTATGATATGCCGAACAATTTTTATCTTTGGCTTTATAATTTCTTTTATAACTGAAGTCATAGTTCACTCAACTCTGAGCAATTTTTTTTTTTTTTGTAAGTAACAAAATTTTATTTACCAAAGAGAACCATTTACAACACAAATCAAACTTTTTTTTACTTTTTCTAGGATTGATGTCAAAAAATTGATCTTAATGATTTCAAAATGAAGTACAATTGGTTGATGGTTGTTGGTCCTATCTTGATAAGATCTCATAGATAAAGCTTTAGTATATTGGAAAAATTAAAATTAGGCAAAATATTATCCTATGTAAGTACATTAGGACGGATCGTTTTGTCGGGAGATGTTTGCATAGTTAAAATCCTATACATATGAGGAGTTTACACGGTAATAGAATTATTACTGTCTGGCTTAAGTTAATAGTCTGTTTGCAATGTTTAATATTTGTTTGAAACGAACATTTAAAACTTAGCATTTATTTGGAATAAATTTTCATGTGAAGACTATTATTCTTTTTCTTAGATTTACGATTGTTTTCCAATGTAAATTTATTGTGTACTCCCCTAATGGGTTACTTCAATTATTTATTAAAGTTATTTAAATTATTATCTAATTCTAGAACGAATGTAGTTTTTATGATGAAGTACCAAAAAGAATGTAGTATAATAGAAAGTACAAATTCTATTTATATTATAATATTATCTTTAGTTTGCTTACCTAACCACCTTAGGTTCAATGAAAATGACGACTGAACTAGAATTACTAAAATATTTTTTCCCCATATAGCTAAATTTGTACATAAAATAATATTATTGCATTATAAGTCATGGCTTGCGATACTCATGGGGACTTTTCAAATTTATTGACTTAAAATCTAGAGTTGACCAGTACACATTTTTTTAATGGTTTCTTTTGTAGTTTAATTGTTCCGTGAGGAACAATCTTATTTTTGATTATGTGACTTTATATTTTCTAATTGTAAAATGGTATTCATACACATATCAATATTTTTTTGCTATTTTATTTTCCTAAATTTGGATGATACATGGTCTTGCACTACTAGAAATTCGGAAAAAAACGACCACAAAAAGCGACCAAAGTTGGTCGCTTATTGGCCAAAAAGCGACCAAACACGCTTGGTCGATATTAAGCTGGTCCCTTTACCTTAGGGACCAAAGTTGATCGCTAATTAGCGACCAACTTTGGTCTCCCGGGTAAAAGGACCAAATTTTTCGGCAAAGCATATAGCGACCAACTTCGGTCGCTAAAGTATATTAGTATTATAAATTTTGCGACCAAAGTTGGTCTCCAGATGTAAATAATGTTTTATTTTTATTTATTGTTAATCATATCAAGCGACCAACTTTGGTCGCTATATTAATAATTTTTATAATTTTTTATTTAATTTGCGACCAAAATTGGTCGCCAATGGCAAGAATTAATTTTTTTTTTTTAACTATGAGCGACCAACGTTGGTCGCAAAACTACCAGAAATTGTTTTTTTTAAATAAATAGCGACCAATACTGGTCGCTATTGCCCAGAAAATTGTTTTTTTTAAGTGAAAAGCGACCAACTGGTGTCACGACCCAATTCCCACCCGGTCGTGATGGCGCCTCTCGTGAAGACAAGGCCAGCCAACAGAACAATCAAAACTGTTTTTGACAATTTCTTAGCATACAGGTTTAAACCATAGATACTGATTAACCATAAGTACGGAAATAAACGTAACATAACGGGGAAAAAAAAAACCATCCCAAACTCAGCCCGATGATCGGGGTGTCACAAGTCACGAGCTGCTACAGAGTTGATGAAAATACTACAAGTCTGGAAATATAGTCTGCAGATGAATAAAATATGCAGAAGATAAGGAAGAAACGGGGCTGTGGATGTCGACAGCTACCTCGTCTCTCCTAGTCCGCCTGGTCTGGAAGGAAATCAGCGCTCAGGTACGAACTCAGCTGTGCCTGTCTCTGCACACATGGTGCAGGAAGTAATGTGAGTACTCTGACCCAGTGAGTAATAAAAATAAATAACGACTGAGAACATAAGATCCCACAAGGGCACAAATAATGCTATCTCAAGCAGCAACATCAGAAAAACAGTAGAAACCAGTGAAATATAGTAAGGAAATCCTTTGAAAACAGTTAAAAATCAATCATACTCAAGCAGTAAATCAGCCATTGTTACCTGATCGGTCAGCCATTGTTACCTGACCAAACGCGTGTTACAGTGCCATTGTTACCACTGGTCAGACATTGTTACCTGACTGGTCAGTCATTGTTACCTGACCAAACGCGTATGACAGTGTCATTGTTACCACTGTTCAATATTTAATCACTCTAGATGGGTACCGGCGCTCACTGTGGGTGTGTAGACTCCGGAGGGGCTCCTACAGCCCAAGCGCTATCAACAAGGCCTGAAAGCCTGAACAGTATCAATACGAGGCCTGAAAGCCTCCTCACCTCACTCATCATGCCCTCACATAAGGCCCTCGGCCTCAATCAGTCCAGAAATAGTCAACAGCCCCTCGGGCAACAGTAAAGCAATAATACTCAGCTCAAACAATAGTTCAAATATCAGTTTAAAACTCCAAGTTTGAGTAAATATGGTTGAGTTCAAGGAAACGGTGTAAATCACATGGACTGAGTTCAAATAATATTTCAAACAGTGAGGAAAACAGTGATTATAGTTCATAAAGAGTTCAAACAGTCGACAATAAGCCCCAAATATGGCAATAAGCCCAAATCATAGTGAAAACAACAAGTCATTGCTAATACGCGGTAAAATATCATCCGGACTGGACCAAGTCACAATTCCCAATAGTAAATGACCCCGCGCTCGTCATGGAACGCGTGTCTCATCTCAACATAGCACCAAGTTGTGCAAATCCGGGGTTTTCAAACCCTCAGAACATCATTTAAACTCATTACTCACCTCTAGCCGGTCAAAGTCTAACTCGCTATGCCTTTCCCCCTTGAATCGACCTCCTCGCGCGTCGAATCTGATCAAAACCACAAGGAATACATCACAATAGGCTAATGGGTCATAACCCAATCGAAAAGACTCGAAAAAAATATCAAAATCACGAAGTTGGCAAAACCCGAGCCCCGGGCCCACTTCTCAAAAAATTACGAAATTCACATCTCCGGATTCCTCGTCTCGCCACGAGTCTATACATATCAAAATCATCAAAATCGGGGTCCATTTGACCCCTCAAATCCCTATTTTAAGCTCTCTAAAATTCAAGCCCTAAACCACCATTTTTGACCTTTGATTCCTTGATTATTCAGTCCAAATTCATGTTTATACACCATAAAATCAAGCTCTAAGTCCAAGAGTTCATACCTGATAATAGCCCTCGAATCCCTCTTCAAAATCGCCTCAAGGTTCTCAAGGTTCGGAGTCCAAAATGTTACTCTTTCAAAAATTCGCGAGGAAGATGTTTTCACTTAACCTGCCAGTTATTTCCGCTTCTGCGGATTAATTCCCGCTTTTGCGCCTTCCGCTTATGCGGTCAACGTCTGCTCCTGCGGACCTTTCACTTAAGGCGACTTTCCGCTTCTGCGGTCCAACTTCGCATCTGCGGGACCGCTTAAGCGACCTAATGTCCCGCTTCTGCGGAACCTGACCTGGGCTCCTATTTCCGCTCCTGCGAGGCCTAGCTCGCTTCTGCGAGACCGCATC